CCAACACAATCGGTCGAGAGGATGGGAGCGGTGGCGCAGTGGTTAGCCTGCTGATAAATAACTTCAGTGGCGAGCAAGTGTCTGCACAGGGCTTGGGCCCTGCCCCCTTCGTCAAACCACCCAATAACCGATGAGGTGAAGTACGGTTTTAACCCCCCCCCCCCCCCCCCCCCCCCCCATGACTGACACGGCATGGAAAGACCTTCATCCAGCAACTGATTCTAAAGGACTGTAAATAGCAATGGAAATGTTATACACGTATGTATATATAATAACAATAATAACTTAGAGACCTCTGTCAATCCGCTGTTGAATAAAGCCCCCCCCCCCCAACCCATGCTTTGTCAGTCAGTGGGGTCATTTGACGATGCTTCACAACACCGGGCAGTGCTAAACTAAACTATTTTTTTTATTTTACTGGCTACGACCCACTGAGCTACGTCGCTCTTTTTCAGAAGCGACCTGGCCGTAAATGATTGCTCGACGAAGTGGCTTATCACGTGGAGATGCATAGCAGCCGATTATACTCTCAACGCATAGCTGATTTAAATGTGAAGGGGAAAACGGGAAGACCCAGAAAATAATCCACGCGACAACAGGGAGAGAGACATGCAAACTCAAAATATACAGGCGTCGGGGTCGGGATCGGGATCGAACCCGGCACGGCAGTTAACATCTCCTAGCCACTGCAGCACCCCTGAATTGAAGGACAGCACCTCGCCAACCGACGTTAGCCCTGACCAGGAATCAAACTCAAGACGCAGGATTCATAGCATAGCACGCGATGAATCTAACCACTGTGCCCCCCCCCCCTGCCCCCACCTCCAGCCCCCCCCCCAAAAAAAAAACATTGTTCATATTTTATTTTTAATAGAACCCATTTAATGCTTTTCACAGACGTCAGCTGAAAAGGTCCACTTTTGCTGTCACCGTATACATTCGCAAATTAAGAGGGGGGGAAATGTGAGATGTTTGCAAGTGGCGTGTTTCGGCTGGCAGCGAGCCGGGCCGCGCTCGGGAGCCAATTACGCGGCAGCGCGGGCCGGACGGAGCATCGAGGACAGCTGCAGGCAACAGCGCCACTTTGCATAAACCCCGTGGCGATGGCTGTCCAAGCACAATTTACTATAATAGATCATTATATATTATACTTTCATTTCTACCCGCCCTGTTACCCGATGACTGTGTAAACTAGGCGTTTTATAATCCCGCCTCGGCGCAGCGCAATAAAAAAAAGGTCTTTTGAGCGGCCTTGCGACGCTTGCTAATGAGTGTTTGTTTGGTAAATTGTATTTTTGACAGTTTCATTTATTTTCAGGTCAATCTAAAAATCGGCTATCGTAATGGAAAAACAACCCAGAATTCGTACGTTTTAATGTGTTTAATAATTTGATCAAAGTTCACACCATATTAATTGATTAATTCATCAACTCTGTTGAAACCGGGTGAAAGTTACGTTAACTAAAAGGTATCTTTCTCAAGCGAGACCTGGATCACGAAGCGATGCGGTGTACAGCACATGTAAAACTAACGGTCAACCACAGCATCGCCCAAGCTTATTACAATAAGGAAAAACATTCAACGATCGATCGTGAAAGGGTCACTTTTCTTAAATGTCATTCCAACCCGAATGGAGTACATTTCAGCCGTATGTGATACATTAAACATTTAACGAAATACTATTTTAAAACGTTACATTTCAAACGGTAACTTAAATTGCAGGAAATATTTGATCTCCATCGTGTATGGTTTAAAAGTGGCACAGCAATGAATTTGATTGTGTATTTAGACTTTACTTGGAAGGATTAGTTCGTAAATATAATCGAGATGCGACACTTTTCCCCGTAAGAGGAGCACATCTTGACCAAACGAAGAATTTCTAACTTTAGCGTTTGCTCTTGGGGCGTAACATGGGAAATCTGAGGATCGTCTAAAATCACTCGAATTTTAACGTGGGATCAATAAACCAGACAGTCTTGGCAGTAGTTTCTTAGAAAACCTTCAAGACATAAATAACACAAAACATAGACAGTATACGTGTGCCATGAAGGTACCATCCATTGTGAAATAATATTAATCAAGACGGCATTTTGAAACACGTGGTTAATATGAAGGAAAGCTATTTCTTGTATACTGAAGGTTTTTTATTTTGTTACTGCCAAGCTCAAATGATATACAGCAGCGCACACAACGGAAGGATCCGTAACAATCGCAGGCGCTGTGGCGGCCAACTCCTGGCGCTATCTCCCATTCTGACACAACTTGTGTTGCGCCAAGGCCAAGGCAGACACGTGGTAACTCATACGGTGGCATCTTAACACAAACAAGTGCGTGTGTCGTGGTGCTGTGCAAGCTCTTCCTTCCGATATGAGGAAGTCACTGGACATATACACTTTCAAATCATCTCGATTGAAAACTCATTTCTTCATAACTACGTTTTGTGTGACCTTTGTTACCAGTATCAAAGTATAAGAATAGGTGTTACGCTTTCTGGCAATAAACAGGTGTTAAGATGTTCAAACACCAAACAGAAGCCTGTCTCAGGTGTAGACCAATCAGTTTCTAAGACAATGCATCTATTACCAGAGCGTGTTTTTGTTTGCACGTTCACCACAAGTTTTTGTGGTGAATTCAGACTTGATTCCTTGCAAACGATTTCTGTTGTGTTCGTATGTCGTCCTTCCCCCTCACCTCCGATTAGCACGGTTGCCTAAGTACGGTGCGAAAGAAGTTCAACGTACTTACATGTCTAGCTATAATTCTTAATTGATGGATGATGCCTTCATAGATACCTTTCATATCCACGTGCAAAATTAAGGCTCAACATAAACAAGATATTAGCATCGGGTTTTTTTGTTACATTTCCATTTCATTATTTCACGAGCCAAAATGTCGATTTTAACACCAATTACAGATGTATATTAAAACATTTTTTTAAATAATACATTATTTAATATTACCATCAACATGATAATACAGCAAGAAAACATGTAACGTTAATTTTTTTGAAAATATATATATACGTAAGTTTGATGCAGCGTTACTGTGGCAATAACTTTAGATCTAAGAACGTACAGTGAGGGAAAAAAGTATTTGAAGCCCTGCTGATTTTGTACGTTTGTCCACTGACAAATACATGATCAGTCTATAATTTTAATGGTAGGTTTATTTGAACATTGAGAGACAGAATAACAAAAACAAAATCCAGAAAAACGCATGTCAAAAATGTTATGAATTGATTTGCATTTTAATGAGGGAAATAAGTATTTGACCCCTCTGCAAAATATGACTTAGTACTTGGTGGCAAAACCCTTATTGGCAATCACAGAGGTCAGACGTTTCATGTAGTTGGCCACCAGGTTTGCACACATCTCAGGAGGGATTTTGTCCCACTCCTATTTGCAGATCTTCTCAAAGTCATTAAGGTTTCGAGGCTGACGTTTGGCAACTCGAACCTTCAGCTCCCTCCACAGATTTTCTATGGGATAAAGGTCTGGAGACTGGCTAGGCCACTCCAGGACCTTAATGTGCTTCTTCTTGAGCCACTCCTTTGTTGCCTTGGCCGTATGTTTTGGGTCATTGTCATGCTGGAATACCCATCCACAACCCATTTTCAATGCCCTGGCTGAGGAAAGGAGGTTCTCACCCAAGATTTGACGGTACACGGTCCCGTCCATCGTCCCTTTGATGCGGTGAAGTTGTCCTGTCCCCTTAGCAGAAAAACACCCCCAAAGCATAATGTTTCCACCTCCATGTTTGACGGTGGGGATGGTGTTCTTGGGGTCATAGGCAGCATTCCTCCTCCTCCAAACACGGCGAGTTGAGCTGATGCCAAAGAGCTCCATTTTGGTCTCATCTGACCACAACACTTTCACCCAGTTGTCCTCTGAATCATTCAGATGGTCATTGGCAAACTTCAGACGGGCATGTATATGTGCTATCTTGAGCAGGGGGACCTTGCGGGCGCTCCAGGATTTCAGTCCTTCACGGCGTAGTGTGTTACCAATTGTTTTCTTGGTGACTATGGTCCCAGCTGCCTTGAGATCATTGACAAGATCCTCCCGTGTAGTTCTGGGCTGATTCCTCACCGTTCTCATGATCATTGCAACTCCATGAGGTGAGATCTTGCATGGAGCCCCAGGCCGAGGGAGATTGACAGTTCTTTTGTGTTTCTTCCATTTGCGAATAATCGCACCAACTGTTGTCACCTTCTCACCAAGCTGCTTGGAAATGGTCTTGTAGCCCATTCCAGCCTTGTGTAGGTCTACAATCTTGTCCCTGACATCCTTGGAGAGGTCTTTGGTCTTGGCCATGGTGGAGAGTTTGGAATCTGATTGATTGATTGATTGCTTCTGTGGACAAGTGTCTTTTTATACAGGTAACAAGCTGAGATTAGTAGAACTAACTTTAAGAGTGTGCTCCTAATCTCAGCTCGTTACCTGTATAAAAGACACCTGGGAGCCAGAAATCTTTCTGATTGAGAGGGGGTCAAATACTTATTTCCCTCATTAACATGCAAATCAATTTATTACATTTTTGACAAGCGTTTTTTCTGGATTTTATTGTTGTTTTTCTGTCTCTCACTGTTCAAATAAACCTACCATTAAAATTATAGACCGATCATTTCTTTGTCAGTGTGCAAACGTACAAAATCAGCAGGGGATCAAATACTTTTCTCCCTCACTGTAGATAGAGAGAGACAGAGTGCTTGAAAAGTGGAACCCACCTAGTGGGAGCAAACGCCCAGGACAAGTCGCAGCAGCCAAGATTTGATGTCATTGTGTAACAACAACAAAAAACCCAACGAAAAATCTGTTAATAAAATCGTTGCGGCACCAGAAGCACAGAGTGGGCCTGGGTGCGGGCGGGTAGGAGGGGGGGCACGGTTTTATTTCTGTTCATTTAGCATTTGTCAGAGTCACTCACCGTGGCGCCAAAAATACGCGGAGGGGGAACACGGGTCGTGAACGCGGTCGGGAACGCGCCACCCCGCGCTGGGCGCGTGGCCACGAGGGGCCGCAGGCGTCGCGGGGAGGCGGCGGCGGGCGCCCCGTGCGACCGGCCGCGTGACCTCGGGCCCACGGATGGCGCCACCACCACCACCACCACCACCACCGGCACCACCGCCACCACCACTGCAACCGCTACCAGCGCCGATTTTACTGTAAGTACACTGCCAATGATACAAACACAACCGTCACCGCTGATTCTGAACACCACGACCACCACCACTGACACTACAACATGATACGACCGGCACTGACACGCACACCACCACCACCACCACTCATACCAACCACAATTATAACACAACCAACACCACTGATACCAACACTCTGACCGCAGTACGAACACACAACCACGATAAATGCAAAAAACACACCACCCCTACCGCTCACATCAACTCTTATCGCCAATGCACCGGGCTGTCTTCACCGTTACCACGACCGCCGCTTACACGGTGAACGTCTCCGCCACCACCGCTGCCATCGGCATCACAACAATCACGATCGACATGGCCACCACCATTACTGCCACCACTGCCGCCATTACGACCGCCATGGCCAAATACCTCAACAATATTGGCGATGACTGTAAAACTACGCTCTTATGAGATATTTTGCATCTTTAGGCAGAAAATGATGATGGGGGGAGAATGGAAAAAACAGAAAACGCTTAAAAAATCCTTTAAAAGGCACGATCGCATTGCACGCCACACCATAACTCCGTTACGGAAGCATTAGTTGAACAAACAAAAGTTAAGCGAAATAAGTAGACACTTCTGAGTAATTCACGCTCCGTCATTTTCGACGCTGCCGCATTAGATTTGCGGCCAAAACGAAAAATCGTACGGCGCCAAACACTGTAATGTTACAGTTTCACTTAAACATGCCGCGGCGTTTTTTTCTCTCCGAGGCAAAAGAAAATCAGATCGCGTTGCACTTTTCTGCTACTTCTACCCCCGTGGCGACACCGAATCGTGGACTCCAGCGCCGCGGCGCGGAAACATCGGAGAGGCGACAGGCGCAACCTCCCGCCGACGGGGGCCCTCGCTCCCAACCACACAGCGATGAGCAACGCTCTCTTTCTCGACGTTTTTTTTTTACTAATTTTTGCTGATGAGATTTGGCAAGGGCGGTAATGGTCGGTAAAGGTGCAGGCCCAGCAGTATCCCGCTCACGCCGCTGTTGGCGGGAGGGCCTCTGCTTGAGGAGCTCCAGAGAGGTCCTCGACCTCTCTGGCCCCGTCGACCACTGCCAACCGCCACAAACATTTTTTGCAGACCGCCATGCACCAATAATGTTTCTAAAATTAAAACGACTCTGAAAGAGTAGCGTCTGCAACAGTTCCTCGGACCACTTCCCCCACGGCCTTACGGTACACGGGTGGTCCGGGAACCACAGGTTGAGAACCACTGCTCTAGCGGCATATTTGGCCTACTCTCCACGCCAGTCAGAAGTGGAAGGGCCCACACTTTTACCCCAGCACTCGTGACCTGCCAATCAACTTCCTGTGGTTGTCCCCATTGATACTGCTGGATGGACATGGGCTATGGGATTGTAGAAACCTACCCAATTGTTTCAATTGCCACACCGGGAGGATAATTTAGCCAAGAGAAAAAATAGCCTGTGAGATGAAAATGTCTCAGTTCAGGTTCTCATCTTAATGGGCGATTGCTTTAGAAGATGTTTTATAAAAAATATGCCAATGTAACCATCTTCAATGGTGGAACAAACTGCCGAGGGATTTTGTTCTATGTGTTTATAGGTTATCCAGGCGATGTCCGGCTAAGAGATACTGATCAGAATCATGGACATTTACAAAGACAATGGAACAAAGACTGAAAAGTGAGTCCAGATGAGAGACAACAAAAGAACCATGATGATTAAAACACCGTAAAATGAAACCCTGCACTAACGAGACTATTGAAGTATAGTCAAACAAACCAACGTGACCAAATTTGGTACAAAGAAATGACTAATAAAGGGCCAAAAATTCTATGAAGACAAGATGATACGAAAAAAAGATGCGGTTGAAAACGATAAATTGCTGCAATGCTAAAACACTGGGTAATTGTTTGCACATTTTTTGCCTGACTTGACATTAAAATGTCTGTGGTACGCTGCACTGCAGATTCCATCCAGGTAGCTTGTCCTGCGTGTGCGTATACTGTACCTCGATCCGCAGAAGCAGACTGTTCAGCGATCATCTTGACGCTGGGGACTGGCAAGAGGCCCTCTGAGACCACAGCAACTGACCGGAAGAGAATGGATACACATGGGAAAGCTGGGAATATTGATGACAACAAGTTGAGGAAAACCAGATTTCTGCTTCACAACTGAAACAGCGTCATCCCCCCACCCCACTTCCCAGCCCCTCTTCCCCTTCCTCCCTGTTATGGGCTCTGTTCATACTTCGGCTCATCGTTTCTTGAGTTTTCGTGCCAGCTGGGCAGGATTGAGCAGGGACATGGGCCCCCAACACTTCCCACGCAGGCGACAGGAGAGCCGAGCCTTAGATTTTCCTTGACTCATCACTATAACAACAAACAAACAAACAATTACGCATGTTTAAGAACGCACATGTAAATATGTAACAAAAACTTAAAACCCCATCAATGATTCTCATACTGCCTGGGACACTCACGATGGCAGATTTTCAGATTTTTGGATAGAAATAATTGTTACAAGCTGGATACAATTAATTATTTGTTACAACCCTTTGCCAATCCACTGCTGGACGAAGACTTCTCCACACCGAAGTTGTTGATCAAAACACTTTACTTCTCATGCATCTGTGCTCGGCACACGTTGGCTGTGTTCTCATTTCGCTAGTTAGCCTCTGCAAATTTGAGTCTCTGCCACAATGACGCAGACTTGTGACGGCGAGCCAAATTCAATTCACGTAATGTTCAGCCCAGTCCAGTGATGAATGGGGTGCCGCGGTGGCGAGATGTTAACTTCCTCGCCTAGTATGCAGGAAGTCGTGGATCCGATCCCAACCCTGACGCCTGCTGCTGTATATATGGAGTGTCACGTGGAGTCCTCGGGGTTTCCCCCTCCACATGTCGTATTTGCCTGCTGTAAGTGCCCACACGGTGAGCCACTTCTTTGAGCTATCATTGGTGGCCAGGTCGCTTCTAAAAACACATTCCTGCGGAGGGAGCTAGTAGGAACGTTGGGTTGCTCGGTCAATGGCCAGGGTCAACGGCGGCGTGGTGTATTCCGCAAATATGCCCGACTGTGAGGGCGGGCACATGCCGGCGTGAGTAGGTTAAACGTTGAGTTTTATAAGGGCACCACGGAGTGACCAGCCCCTCCCCACCCAGCCCCTCCCCACCCACCCCCCACCCAGCCCCACCCTCCCCACCCAGCCCCTCCCCACCCTCTCTCTCCATCCAGCCCCACCCCTCCCATTTTTGGATGCACGACGGACGGACGGACACAATAATCCCCTGTGGGCTGGTGTAACCAGGAGGTTCCTACCAGTAAAAGAGCTACGTAGCTGAGTGGGCCTTACCTGGGAAAATAAAAATAGTTTTTTAGAATGAGGGTCTCCACCAAAACACGTTGGGCAACTATTTTGCCTGATTTCCCTTGCTATCGCTCTCTTGTAACGTCGGTCTTGATTATTCCGTCCGGTTTGTTGTCTCGTTCGTGCCGTTAGGCTACAAAATAAACATTTGTATATCACCCTCTTGAATTGAAAGTAGACTGATTAAAATACCAAGAAACAACTTTATTTGGTGCGTCGATGAATCTGCGTCTCAAGATCAAGAGGCCAACGGGACTAATGGCGCACCTCTGATTATATTATCACGGTCGGCTACGCACGGTGCGAAAGAAGTTCAACATAAGTGCGCGATGCCGTTGATGCCACCGCAGCTCGCCATCGCTTCCCTCCTCTTTGCTCGATCCTGCAGTTGTTGAAAATTTGACACCGGACCCTTCGTGGTCTACCCTTGCAGGTTCATCATCAGCACCATCTAAAATTAGGTCTCCCCCTTGCTCGCAAACCCCTCGATGCTTGTCTACATGACCTGCCCTCCACCATCATGCATAATAACATCGTAGCCTCCTCCTATTCACAAAACACGAAGGGAGGCATCGTCACAGATGCGATACTCCACTCCCGCTACTGCTGGGGGCAATCATCAGGGCTCTACCCCCTCGATGTAAATGTCCAGCTGCTGCTGCCCCGCATCAACAGCAGCCACACAAAGATGAAGAAAACTCTCCTTTTATCGACAACATCTGCAATGCTTTCTTGCCACGGTCTATTTTGAAACATACACGTTGATTACCCTGTCCTTAAAATTCATGGCGTCCTACGCATCCACCCGGGATTATTTTCTAGATACCTTGTTGAAAGTCTAAGTCTTTGACTCTTAGAGTATCACTGCAACCTCAAACACCCTTATTTTATTAATTCAAAGTTCGTAATTGAGTGTTAGGAACCCTCCAGCACCTAACACAGCCAAATCAATTATGGGCACAAGCGTTTAACGTGCGAATAATTGCAGTCATGAATGCTGCAACGAGTGACGGTGACTCTTAAAGTTACCGGCGGTGAGCTGGAACGATAATAACTGACACGTCATTAAACGCTCGTACACCGCGTGCCGTTGAATCTGCTTGGCTCTGTCGGGTGGTGGAGCATTCCTGACGGCACAGATTGAAGCAACGACATCGTTACGTGGACTAACCCCCCCCTCCCCCCCCAAAAAAAAAATCTATCGTAAAACATAACGCTGGCAGCAAAAACCCGACATGCACGGAGGCTTTCTTTTGCAAGTCGTTCATGCGTCCCATCAAAAAATACCCCCGACCTACTAATGCAACACGTCTCTTGCTTTCCCCTTGCTGATACGAGCGGATAGACACGGAACACATGGATCAGAGAAGAGAGAAAGAAAATCCGAATCGGAGACATCATATTTACTGTAAAGGAAGTTGTGCTTTGTCATAACGCACGCCGCACGCACCACATCCACCATCGGCTCGTGGCAGAACTCTTCCACGGCGGCGTGACTCACAGGCTGCCTCGTCCTGTGTGTGCATCCAGGACCAAGGACCGTTACTACCGGGGGTGTCGATTCTCCGTGGCAGCCCCCCCCCTTCCCCAGCCATCTGGAACGCGGGTCATCACCGTCTCAATGCTACTTGCACATTCTCAGCAGCGGCATTCACGCTCCAAACTCCTTCAGGAGACACTTTAAAGGCCCCCAGACCATTTTCCCTCTTGCGGCTTTCGAACGACACTTCCCTTGGCTCCGTGCCCCCGAGTCACTGTCATTCCCACCTGTGAAATATTGCGCGCGTTACAAATTGCGTCGTCGTTGTTATGATGGTTACTACGAACACCGTAATACGTTGGCCGCGCGCGATGAAAGCATGCGAGGGTTGGTAGATCACACTTGCAAACCGTGTGAGCGAGGCATCTACTTTCGGAGATAGCAAAAGACCCATAGAAGGCTGCAAACAAGCAAAGCAGGCCCGCTGACTTATCACTCCGGCCTTTGGCACATTTGCAAAAAATATAAATATTGAAATAAGAGAATGGCCCATACATCAAATAAATAATTGGCCTAGAATTCTCACCCGAGTCTGCCAGCATGAGTCACGAGGTCTATGATGCGCTAAGCAACACTTCTTTATTTATTTCGTTTTGTTCACTTGCACAGGCCCCTTAAAAAAACTCACGGGGCGGTTACCGACCTGGCGCGAACATTTTTTTAAATCTGAATAGTTAGGACTGGAGGATGAATCCGATGAGCTACGAAGCTCTTTTTCACAGATGTCCGCTGTGGGCGGTTCAGAGAATTACAGCAGAAAACATTATCGAAAAAAGTAAAAGCAGGTCACTAAATATAAGCAATGCATTACTTGACTATATAATAACATGTAATAATTTCACATGACATGCAACTGTCACTCCTTTACGGACGTGACGGCAACACGTAAATCGCAGGATATCCGCATCACCTTTTGCAACGAAATTCCACCGCGTTTCAAGACGCTGCGCAAAGTAACTCTAATTTATATTCGTGGGGGGGGGGGGGGGGGGGGCGGGCGGTGCAAAGTTACAAGGCCCATGGGTTTGGAGTTTGTAGTCGCAGTCACGCACAGGCAGAGAGAGTCTCTTAATGTCCACCTGTTCATTTGGTGTCCACGTATTTCGTGGTTTGCACGGATCCGGTTCAGCGCGAGCCCATTGTTTGCGACATACATGCCAGGGCGGTGCGCTTCCGCAGTTTTCCGATTCTCCGAGTACTCTAAAGGTTAAATCAGTGAGCGGTGAGCACTGACTCTCTCTCTCTTATAGTTGCTCTCTGTAAGGTTATACGAGCAAATACGAGGGGAGAGGGATTTTGGCTTTGTCATGCGAAGAAAATAAGACAATAGTGTGGTGTGGTTGTGGATGAAGACACTACGCCGTGGAGAATATACAAAGTCGTAGGCAGTGGCAAAACGTCAGGGGTATCTGCAGAGCGGACGGCCAGGGTGGGGGAGGGCATTCCAGACCGCGTGACAGCAGCAGCAGGAGCGGCAGAGAAGGAGCGACCGCCCATCGATCGAGCGAAGGTCACCCGGAGGTTAAGTGGAGGCTTCGGCGGTTACGTAAACGTGGCTAAACATTGCGGAGAACGAGCACGCCGAAGACGACCGACCGGCGTGCGGCGGCGGCGGCGGCGGCGCCGGTAAACGCCAAGCGAGACGTTGTGTAAAATAGCGAACAGGTGGCGAACCTGGTGAATGTTCGGGGGGTTTCATTTAGAACGATGGCTGTACCAAATTCCCAGCTGCGCGTTTGAAGTAGCAGCGCGCTTGATGCCGAAAGATTCTAGGACCCAAACCATAAATCAGCTGGCCTCTTGCCAACGACTGCTATAAAGCCGCCACGGGTTCGTTTTTTTAGAGAGAAGTACACTTTGGAGAATTTCAACTCGCGTTGAGTAATGTTTAATGAGCGCAATTATTACGCGGAGCTGCTGAAATCTGCCTAAATGCTCCGCGCGCAACCCGACGAACCCATCTGTGCTGGCACCACTCCACTGTTATAATTAAGACGGGGATTCCGTTTGGATATTATTACATATTTATGGTCATTAATGCGTTAAAGCACCGCACTGTTGAAAAACACAGGAGCGATGCAAAACTTTCTTTTTTAGTTTTTTACCGGTGCTGTTACATTTTGTTGTTGACTATAACTAATTAGTAATTGTAACCCTTTGCCAATAATCCACTGCTGGATGAAGACCTCTCCACACAGAAACTGTCTTCTAATTTCCACAGCGAAATTTGAGCCTGTGCCGCAATGATATGGTGATGACAAGCTAAAATTAATCTCCATAACATCCTGCCCATCGTCAATCCATTGCTGGACGAAGACCTCTCTCCATACCGCGGTCAATGGTCCGGGATTTTGACCATACTTCACCACACCGGTCAGAGCGTGGGTTGGTGAAGGGGGAGGTTGTGGAGGGGGGGGGAGGTGGGGAGGGTTGTGGGAGCTCGACCGACTTGCGAGTAGAA